AGTCACGCGGACCCCAACCAAGTAGTCTGTATCTACCAGCATGGTTCAGACTATAAGTTAATGACTTCAAGCACTGATGCCACGTTTTAGTTTGGAAAAACAAAGAATACATTAAATAAGAACTTTCGTGAATAGTTTCATAATATTTGGGCGCCGAGTTCATGTAAGACATAAAAGAGGAAGATTTGTTGTATTTATGAAAATCTCAGCGAAAGGATTTCAAGTAGATCCAACGTTTCGCCTGGCACAATCTGGTGATTTTTTTGTTTAATCATATTTTCCTTGAATAAGCTTGGACCAGATTGCCAGATGAAACGTTGGATCTACTCCAAATTCTTTCGCTGAGATTTTCACAAATACAACAGTCTTCTTTAAAAAATACATGACGTTGGGAAATAGAAGTAGATATGAAAAAGGATAAATAACAACTAGCAAAAGCTTGGAAAGATTGCCCTAAATTGGAAGAAAGCTAGATGCGGCCAGACCAAAACATGGCACAAGTCCATGAAGTCACTGACAAATAGACTGAGTCATATTGGTAGGTGTAGACTGCCTGGTTGAGGTCCGTGAGACGATGGCAACCGATAGTTAGAGACCCTGAATCACATGGCTCAAAATTGTTTGCAATAGCGCAGGTACATCCATTCCTTGTGTTCTTCCAAATTCTAATCTCCTGATTCCTCCTTGTCACTTTTTTTTTCTCTCTTCCCAAATATATTTCACTCGATTATACTCTTTAAATAACATCTCAAACCCTAATCTTACCGATTACTGCTTATACTTTTACTACCTCTACCACTATGGGATTTGAATCAACTACTGCATCTCTATCCTAATGTGATATGGCAATTCGAACTGATGTATGTACATACGAAGTTCTACGTTGTCACTGACTGACTGGATTGGATGGAAATGCTGGTGAGCGGTCTATGCTCCTTCATGAGGAGTAACAGGCGTATATCAATCACTTAATTTATTTATTTATATCCATCCATATATATATCAATGTTTATGTTTACGTGAGCAGATGAGTAAATAAATAATTAGCTGATTGATTGATTGATTGATTGATTGATCAAAATTCAATAATATCGATTATAAACTAAAATTCACTTAAGTATAATTTTAATTATTGAGGTTGAAAAACAAAATAAAAAAAACAACAACAACAACAGCAACATCAGAATCTACTTGATGAATGATGTAAGCGAAGAAGCAAAAAAAAATTTTTTTCTTATTTTTTAAATCAATAGGGTGAAAATGAAAAATTAGTTGCTATGTTGTTCTCTTTTTATGGGAATAAGGGAATAACATTAATGACTGAAGATGACTGACGACTACGATAATAAAAATAATGACAAAAAAAAGGAGGGGTGTTATTGTTTTTGTTTTATGTGTGACTTTTCTATTTTAAAAAGAAAAAACGAAAAGAAAAATGGTAGGAGGGAATAAGATCTTCTCACCATTATCAATGGGAATATTGATTTTAATGTATCCAGATCAATAAATTATTGTATAAGTAGAGAAAAACAATTTGTGAATGAACAAATTGATTCAATTAAAAAATATATTTATATCAGAAGGGGTTTTGTGGATATTATAGTAATTTCAATGGTTGAGATCATGAGTCAATTTCAAACTAGACCATCATAGAAAACCTAGAAGCATTGGACGGCTGTTATATCCTATTGTGGGACTCCTCAGTGGTAGTGTGCATTCACGATACTGCCCACCCCCATGAGATTCGAACCCAGGGTCTATCGGTTTCGGGCACACGAACGTCTAACCTCTAAACTACTGAGCTAGCCGAAATCCAATGGTGTTAATGTCTAACTTCAACTAATCCATGAAATTGAGTGACACATTCATGGTGGTCTAGCTTCAATTGACTCATGATCTCAATCATTGAAATCTAAAAAAAATATTCCTAGAAATTCTCATTTTCGTTTGAATAAAAACTGTCAAATGGTTTTAGGATAATGGATCGGTGTTTAAGATGTTCACTATGATGAACTCTAAGTTAATTTCTTTTTTCAAATACCTTTAAGAGAATCCTTCAATGGTATAGGCAATCAGGAAGTGATAATTCCCTTCATACCTTTAACACCATTCAAGATCGCTGTATCTATAATCATATTCACAACTTTCAAACATAAACATCAACTCAATTATTTGTCATTATACCCTAGAAAGGTGATTTTTTTACCAAATTCAAGTTTCATCTTTAAGTAAAAGTTTACAACAATGAAAATTTCATGGTTTTCCATATCAGTTTTGATGTTCACTCTGAGTTCGAGTCCCAGAGTGATACAATTTCAACTAGACTGAAAACCGTGTCCTAGATTTCATTGCTAGCTACTATCCATATATTTGCTTATAATGCTTGTGAATTAAGACAATATCGTGGCATACGCAAAGTATGAACATCATCAATGGGAAGATTCAAATAAACAATACCAAGTGAATTTAAGATAAGTAATGATGTTGTCAAGGTTGATAAATCATATGCTATCAGGCAGTCAGTCAATCAATCATAAGTAACATAAGATCTAATACACAACTGGGACAGTCCAAGTTGTTGAGTTACATCTGCATTATGACATAAAATGATGAAGATGAAAACTCAGACAGTAATAGTTGCAGTTGACGTATCAGTGATTATAAGAAAGATTAGATATAGAGATTACGATTAGAGAAGAAAGATTTAACTTTTTGAATTTCAGGCTCATTGCAATGAATTTTAAGTCAAGTTACTCAGCATCTTTAACTACTAAATACGGTTCTAGCCCATGACACAATCAGATTGTTTTCACTTACTAATATATGTCGAACCATTGGTTGATAACCACATAAACGGATACCATACGTTTAATTTTGATCTCATTAGCTTTCTTCTAAGTTACTCCAATTTCAGTCTATACTGCAAATCGAGATAGGCGATGATTGAGTATATGTGACATGAATTTATCATATTTGGTCAACACTCTTGAGCTAACTTTAGTATTGCTCATTCTATAGTCTCAACATTATTCATCAATAAGATGAGTAGCAAAGATTATAAAACTATCAACAATTCCTCCTTAATTCTTATTGACTATATTGAATCGGTTGAAGTGTTTTCTTCAAATGAATCAGTGAAATCTTTATGTTAGTCAGTTCTAATCAACACAGAATTCTCATATATATATAAATCTAGACAACATAAAATTAACAAGTCAAAATGGTAATTTCTCTAACTAGATCGAAAGTGTTCATCCTGTTAAAGATGTTCAATGATTGAACTGAAAAGTTGTCTAGAACTCTTTGTCATTATTTTTTGGTGCCCTAAAATGAGATGTCAGTCAGTCAGTCGGTAACAATGTAGAACTTCGTTCGTACGTACGTACATCAGTTCGAGTTGCCATACCACATTAGCATAGAGATGCAGTTGTCGATTCAAATCCCATAGTGGTAGAGGTAGTAAAAGTATAAGCAGTAATCGGTAAGATTAGGGTTGATGATGTCATTTAAAGAGTATAATCGAGTGAAATAAATTTGGGAAGAGAAAAAAAGTGACAAGGAGGAATCAGGAGATTAGAATTTGGAAGAACACAAGGAATGGATGTACCTGCGCTATTGCAAACAATTTTGAGCCATGTGATTCAGGGTCTCTAACTATCGGTTGCCATCGTCTCACGGACCTCAACCAGGCAGTCTACACCTACCAATATGACTCAGTCCATTTGTCAGTGACTTCATGGACTTGTGCCATGTTTCTAAAATGAGATGAATCTTTGATGAATATAATCTATTTATCATATTCGTTCATGTTAGTTACAAAATGTCTTGACTACTATTTTATCATATTAGATGTGATTCAATTAATCATTGAAATACCTTGTTAACATAATAATGATAATAATAAACTATGCAATGACACTTATGATGATGATGATGACGATTATATTCATCGTAAATATTGCCTCATTGACATGTGAATTTCATTAACTAACCAAACAAAACAAAAAAAAACGAGCTGAATAGATTTCATTGAGAACAGTTATGCAAATGAGTTGAACACAATGTTGTAGTATTTAGTTAAAACACTGACAATTTTACGTATATAAAAGTATAGAGTTTTGTTCAGTGATCTCGAAGTTAAGCATTCACAAGACAGTTCTAAGATCCTGAGTTCGATTTCCTGTACAGGCATTATAGATAGACGTTATTCAGGAGTTTCATATTAAGATGAAACAGTTATCCAATACTGTTTGGTTTCTAATATTGGTTTAACTAAGATCAGTTCATAATATGATTTTGATAGAAAAAAAACTCTATAGACTATCTGTATTCACATTGTTAAATAAGAAGTGCTAAAGGTAATGATTACCACTTTCCCTGATATTTGAAATCATCTGATTCTGAAATAGAACAAATGATTCAATTTTATGATCCCTATTTACAACTTTAATCATGAAATGGTGAAGAAGATTTGTAGCTCATGTGGATGATTTTGATGGAGTTTTGTTCTCTGAGCTGACACGACCAAACCATCTCAAAATCATGAATGAGCGTAATACGCTTCTCGTTGTTCGAAAATGAGAGAATTTCGCCAAAAGGCAAGCTTCCACTCAAGAACAACTATATATTTTCTCTATGAATGTCTTCGCCAGCATGTTCTACCAACAAGTGTAACACATAGACTTTCAATCAACTACCCATTAGGATGGAAAATAGCTGAGCAAAGTGGGAGAAAAAGATGGTATACCTAATGATAACGGATGCACACTACAGAATCCACAAATACCAACACGTCATAGAAGACCAAAAGATGAAGCTACAAAGGACACTCACGTCAGAACACAACCAAATCATCTAGCTCAGAGAAAAAAAAAACTCCATCAACAACTTTAATCTAATCTTCTTATCAAGATAATTAACTTATCTACTATATTTATTCTCATAGAAAATATCAATCCTTAAACTTAAATAAGTAATATTAAATTATATAAATACATATATTATTCATAATAACTTACCATAAAACTATTCAATGGTCTTGGTATACTATCTTTTCTACGTTTCTTTTTAGATTCAGCTATTGTTGTATATGGACGTAATGCATTAGAACCAGTTAAACGTGATACTCTATCACTAGGCCATTCAGTTGGTATTGCATGTTCATCAGTTAAATGTTGCATCCATATTTGTAAACCTCCTAGTTTTGCTGTAGAACATTGATCACAATCTTTCATCCACATAATTGTGTTTTCTTATTTTTGTTACTATGTTCAATATATTATGTATGTATAGATAGATTAATAGATGGATATTATATATATGTAATTGTTTATTCACTGAAAGCACAGTGGTATATGATAAATTGAATACAATATATATTTCTTGGAATGAATTGAAGATGATGAAGTAATGTTATTATACATTCAATATGGAATTAAATACATCTATATACATTTGTATATATAAATGTATGTATTCGATTTTGTTCCTTTTTGGCTTCTAGTTTTTCTTCGTCTTCTTTCGTTTTTTTTTTTTTTGATTGAATGACAGAAAATCACTTAAGACTAGACGACGTTACACATTAAAAAATGAGGAAATAATTGTATGATTTGACAATTTATAGTTGACATATTTGGGAAGTCTAGAGGTAGAACATAAATAAACCAATGATATATTTTGTGCCCTAGAGCTGTGTGTTTATATATATATATATATGTATGTATTTATATGTATATGTATGTATGTATGTATGTGTGTGTGTGTGTCTATTTACAAATCACCTTGACACACACAACTCCTATGTGACTATTAACTGTTAATAATAGTAATATTATTAGACAGGGGTTAGATAGATGGTAGTTTATCTTCTATACTTTAATAGATACGTCTAGGAAAATGATGATGAGTTCAGCTGAGACTAATTTTTTTTGTGTATTGTTTTTATGCATGTATACACACGTGGCTTACAATATGCTACCTGTATATATCTAGATATGTCTATAAAAGATATGTCTATCTATCGATCGATTAATTAAAGGGGAAATATATATATATATATATAATAAATCTTAATTTTACCATCAAAAAACACAAGTCTCTTTCTCGCCCCCCACCCACCTAAAATACACAACATTTAATCACGTATTTGTGGGAAAAAAAACCGGGAGAAAAAAATTAAAAAAAAAATTTTATGCATATTTTTTTTTAAGTTTTTTCAAAATGAGCACGTCAACCACATATACAATCAAAAAATAATTTTTTTTTGTTATATCAACCAATCATAAATGAGTAAAAGGAATTGGATAATATCAATCTGAACTCTGATGGTTGATTCAATAATCATAAACATTTTTTTTTTTGAAAAAAATAGGGAGAGTGATGAAAAATTATTCATCCAATACATATGTATCATTGAATGGTGGTGGTGTAATTTGTAAAATTTAATCAGAAACTAAAAACTAAAGGGATGACATTATCTATTCACCTTCTATCACTACATATCTCTCTCTCGCTAACACACACACACACAGTGCTTTTTTGCTGTAAAGAATTTTCGGTTAAATAATCGAGATCATTTATGTAAGAATGAAAGCCTCCAAATGCCCTGGTATCGCCGAGAGTGGAGAGAGTCCGCTCTCCCTCTCCAAATACTCTCACATGACCACGCGTATATAGCCTTTGCAAGGGAAGTCCTACTCACTGCCTTCTCGCGTCGGGAGTGTTATTTACGAAATCGATATACGAAAAGAGAATGTCGGCGCTTTAACCAGATCCCAAACCAATGGTGCACATCGGTTCCAACCCTGCGGGAACAAATGGCGTATGAACCAATTGTTGTTCACCGGCTACTATGAGACTGTATCTCCTTACATTCCTCCACTGTCTTGTGGATCGGACCTTCAAGTCGACGGCTCCGTGTGTGGCCTCCTAAGAGAAACACCTGCTTCGGTTTGGGCACCCGGGGAGTATCACAGCCCTCATACATATCAAATGAGATTTGTGTGACGCATATGTATTTGGTGCCTCTTTGTACCAATATCTATGTGTTAAGACAAATAAATAAATAAAATATATGTAAGATTCAATTATTTCGATATATCATGCAATTTTATTTTTATACTGTATTAAACAATCCGAGAAATTGGGAAAATGCTTTTATGTATATTATGTAATATAATGTATGTATATATATTTTAACAGTTGAGAGTATGAATTAATTGAAGATAGACCACCATGAAAAACCTGAAAGCATTAGACGGGCGTTTCGTTCTGTTGTGGGACTCCTCAGTCGCAATGCACATCCAGATCCTGCCGCACGGAATTCGAACGCAGGACCTATCGGTTTCGTGCTTGGGCGTTTGACCTATAGACCACTCAGCTGGCCGGCATTCAACGGTGTTAATGTCTAACTTCAAACAATTTATGAAATTTAGCCATCGTTCATCATTGTCCTCAGTGAGTTACTATCACACAACAGATACAGTTGAACCTCATTGGCCACAGCTTCTTACTAGAACTTCATGAACTACCTCTTTAAGCCAGTCACTAGTGAACATACGATCATTAATATGACAAGGGGTTTTGTGGAGATTTTACTAATTTAATAGTTGAGATCATGAGTCAGTTGAAGCTAGACCACCATGGAAAACCTGAAAGCACTGGAAGTGCGTTTCGTTCTACTGTGGGACTCCTCAACAGTACGCATCCACGATCCCGTATATATCTTTTGGTCAAATTATAGAATAATCCAGACAGAGAAATAGCTAAATTATAACGATAATCATCAGATATAACTTTCATGCAATTTTTCTTATATCACAGAAATCGAGAGGATAAAAATTAATAATAATAATTACTTCATGTTTACTGGTACATCAGTTTAGGGTTGTGGAGATTGTTAAGTTTTAATTGTGATCATGAATGGATAAATGTTAGATCACCATTGAAATCTTGGAAACACTCGACCGTTGTTTCGTACTAGTACGTGACTCCTCAGTCCAGTTACCAAATGACATTAAACCATATTATAGGCTTTAATTATGTAGTCTATTATCTCATAAACCGTTTCGACTCATCAACAGTACACATCCACGATCCCGTCTCGCGAGGTTCGAACCCAGGATGCATCAGTCTCGCAAGCGAGCGTTTAATCCCTCCTCTCTCTCTCTCCCTCTCTCTCTCTCTCTATATATATATATATATATATTCATCCGATTGTCTCGGTATTACCACCAAGTCAAACAAGCTAAGTTGGACATTGATTAATAACGGATTGTAGAATTCCATTTTGTTAATCTGATTAATGACAAACGTGATCATTAAAAAGCTTTTAGCATAAATCTAAAATGTCATTTAGAGTCAATCTCTAAACAATTTCACCTTTAATCTAAGTTATGATTACATTAATAATGAATAAACAAATCCTAAACTTCAGTCATGTGTAAATATTCAAGAGTTAGATAAGAAAATTTTTCAATATTTGTTTCTATCAGTGGATATTTTGTTATTGTGATAATCTATTCTGATCTTTTTCCATTGATTGTTTATTCTGGTTAGTGTTTTTTTTTTCTTGCTGGTAAGGTTGTTTTCTACGAGATGAGGTCGCTAACCTCATACTCAACCTTTCTGTTTTACCCGAGCTTGGGACTTGTAGTAAATCTAGAAGAACTACAGTTGGAAGTCATCAAACTGCATCATAAAAGCAAGTCCTAACTTGAAATCTTGAAAGAAAACAGAAAAGAGTAAGTCAAAAGAACACATTGAGTCAAGAATTGGAAGTAGACATGAAAAAAATGAATTACAATTGGAAACAACTAGAAAGGAATGTCGATGACATAGTTTGATTTAGAATGCTGATTGATGGCTTATGCTCCTCCATGAGGATTAACAGACGTAAGCAAGTAAGTAGTAGTCAGAACACCTCTTAACATTCTTTTGACTATTATTAAAACTTGTAATTTCTTATCAGCTATTCATTTAATTCTAAATCATTTGACATCATTATAATTAACTTTTTATAGTAACGTCGGGAATTAGAAACAAACATGAAAAGGATGAATAGTAACTGAAAAGGATTTCCCAGGACAAGGTTGGATGGAGAGTACAGGTGGACGGATTATGTTCTTCCACGAGAGTTAACAGGAGTAAGTAAGTAATTCTAACAAATTAAATACAACTATGTAAAACCGCATAATTATTACTATCATTTATATTATTGAAGACATTGATATTATGAATACAATATGCATTAATTTAGATGTAAATAAATTAAAGAAAATATTATAATACAAAGAGATATAAGAACACAATAACCAATTAAGATTGAAGTCTACAGGATAAGTTGGTAGTCATATATATATATATAGAAATTCGAATACACTTCGCATCTACCTAAAGTTTATACTGATCATGCCATTCAGAAGAATGATTAAAACGTTCAGAACAATCAAAACCATTCAGTTTACAAAACAAAACTTCATCGAATTCCGCGAATGGGATCGTGATTGCGCACTGTTGAGGAGTCCTACAATAGGACGAAATGACCGTCTAGTGCTTCTAGGTTTTCAATGGTAGTTTAACACAAAACTTAATAATCTCCATAACCCTAAACTGATAATTACCATGTACTCACTAGTGATTAGCTTCGTGAGGGAATTCTCAGAGTTCTAGTAAGAAGCCGTAACTAGTAGAGCTATTCCATGTTGGGTAGAAATAGGTGTCTACTTTAGTACAATGGAAGATGGTCGCGCAATTTCGTGAATTGCTTTAGGTTAGACATTAACACTTTTCGATGCTGACCTAGTGGTGTAGAGACTAAATGTTTCCGCACGTGACCGAATGTCCTGGTTTTGAATCCCACGGGAAAGATCATGAGTGCGTACTGTTGAGGAGTTTCACAATAGAACAACACGGCTATCCAATGCTTTCACGTTTTCCATAGTGGTCAATTGTATATATTTTAAGATGATAATCATGTACGCATACAACCATCCATCCAACCACCCACTCACCCACCCACACACACACACACACACACAATAATCAATGAAATAACATTTGAGTCTGGTATTTGGGCGTATCCACTTTCGAATCATCAAGCTTAGAATGAAGAAGATAATCATTATGTCAATAGAAATTAATCAACATTATTATTATTAATAATCATAATCATAATGGTAATCTTATTTATGTCTAAGTATTTAATTAATTTCTATGTTTTATCATAAAGAAATTTTGTTGT